ACACACACACACACACACACACACACACACCACCTCTACCCCTCTCTGTCTGTGGACTAGCCCCGTCTCACCACCACCACCTCCACCCCCGTGTCTGTGGACTAGCCCCCTGTCTTATCTCTAGGCCCCACTTTGACTTCACCTGCTCCCGTTGGTTGATAAGAACGGCCTGCCTGTGGCCCAGGGCAGACCCTGCTGACGAGACGCTCGGCGAGAGAATCCCTGGTGCCAGGCCTGCTGGAGGCCTGGCCTTACCCTTCTCCCCGCAGCTTTGGAACTTTTTCAGCAGGCTCCTGTGACCCTCCCCGCTGGGCTTCTTGTGCCAGCCACCACGTGGCTCTGTCAGGGCCTGAGCCTCAGCATCAAGATCGGACGGACTCCAGGTCAGAGTTCACGACCGAGGTTTACACTAGGACACTCGGGCAGCATGAGTCTTTGTGACAGGAGGTGGGGACAGTGTCCCTGCCCTTGAGGTATTTAGCATCATCCCTAACCCACTACATGCCAATAGCACTTCCAGGCAGGAAAGCCAAAATACCTCCAGCAGGGACATGGCCCTGGTCCGACCACAGCTCTTAGGTGGGTGGTCTTTCAGCCATCTCGGACTCTCCTCCCTTCACGTCCATGGGCCCGGAGGTCAGTCTCCTCCCGCTTCCCTGCCCACCTAACTCCCTGTCTCTGTCCCCAAGCCAGCAGGCGTCCACTGCCTCTGAGGCCCTGTCTGTTCTGTGCCTTTTGCATTTCCGGGTACAGGAAAGCCCCAGCCCCCAGCCACATGGGAGGCACATGGTGGTGGGCACGCCGCTGTCATGCTAGCATTCTCCAGGGAGATGGATCATCCGGTGACTTCTAACTTTGCTCACTCTTGCCCGCAGCTCCACCCACGGTCTAGCAGGCCCAGGCACGCTGGGTGGACCAGCCTCTCTCTCTCTCACCATCTGACTCTCTTCTCAAGTGACTCATCCTCTCCTTCATCCACAGCGTCTCCCTCCTCCAGCTCTCAGTGCACAGCTGCCAGGGGCCGGGGCGGTGCCCCACCCTCCTTGGAGCCTGGCCTAACCTCACCAGGGCTACCCGCCTCCCCGTTCTCTGCAGGGACCTGACTGCTGGGTCCTGGCTGCCTCAAGCAGGGCGATGTCTCCCCAACCTCTCTCCTCCCCGCAGGTCCCAAGCACACCCTCTCACTGCAGTGCTGCCTCTCCACGCACATGGGGCGCCTGCCTCGGGGGCAGGGTCCTAGTGGCTCCTGTGCTTTGGGGGGTTTGTGGGCTTGGGGACCCTGACCCCACAGCCCAGTTTGCTGGGCCAGCCTGAGCGGTGGGGTGCGCGTGAGAGCCTAGGTGGGGCCCGCCTTGCCCCCTTCCACCTGTCCCTGCCCCGCTTATGGTGTCCCTGGCACCTGCCGGCTGTCCCCGTCCACCATGTCCTCCATGAGTCCAGAGTCTGTCGTGAGCGGCGTGGTCCGTGCGCACCCGTGGGCACGTGTGCTTGTGTGTGCGTGCGCGCGCGGGGCACGGCAGTCTTGTCTGGTGTCCGTGCTCTGTGGGCAGATGAAGGTGGCCTGTTTTTACTCTCTCTGTGTTTCTCCTTGTCTTTTTTATTCCCTCCTCATCCTCATCGCACTCTGCCATCAACCCAAACTCTCATCTCTCAGATCAGCGAGAAGGTTGGTCTTTTTCACTTCTTACCCACCTACAGCCCGCCCGTCGATGGGATGCTCCCGTCAGCGGGGTCCTGAGGGCTCAGGCAGCTCCCGCAGGCTCGCTTCAGCCACGCCTGCCCGCCGGCCGGGCTCAGCAGGCGGGCAGGACCAGGGTGGGTGGGGAGGCCCTCACCCCCTGCATGTCTCTGCTGCTTGGGCCTCGAAGCGCCACGAGTCTGCATGTCCCTCTAGCGGCTCCCTTGCCGGGCGGGTGGGCCGGCAGGCATGGTGCATGGCACAAACCGTCACCCCACCTGTATGCCCGGGCCAGGCTCCTGTCTGCGCCAGGTGGCGTTCGGGAGTGGTCGTAGTGAGAGGTGAAACGTAAGAACTCTGGTACTTCGATTCTACCTGTGGGGTCTTCTTCCTCCTTCCCCACCTAAACCCACTTTGGCCTCCCCAAGCTCAGCCGAAACCCCGTGAAGACGAAGGGTAGAGGCTACAGTGGGATGCCCCCTGGCGATCCTGCAGCTGAGGACAAAAGTCCTGGTGTCCACCTGGTCCTTGGGGCCTCAGGGCCCCCACTGAAGCAGGCGGAGCAGCCACAGCCCTGGTCTGCCCCAGGGAAGCTCAGCTCCTGGGCAAGTTCCGACAGTGTCGGGTCTTTTCCTCCAAATGTAGCATCTTGCCCAGACCCCTCTGTGTCTGAGGATGGCATTTGTCTGACAGCTGACATTTCCTCGGCAGATAGCTGGGCCTTCAGACCCCGGGAGTGCTCAGCTGGCTGACAGAGGGTTGCTTGTAACCTGTGCACGCCTCGAGGGGAGAAGCACTGAGGCCCGGGGATCGGGTGGGCAAGGGCTTCCACTCCCTGTACATGCGTTCTAGAGTCTGCCCATAACAGGTTCAGTTCTCGGCCCAGCCTTGGGGCGGGGCCCTACTCAGCAGCAGGGTCTAGTGGTCTTTCTTGTGGTCTGTGTGGTCCGGTCAGAGGAGACGCACCGCCCTTGTGCAAAAGTGCAGTTCCAGCCCCATGAGCCAGCCCCAGCCACCAGCATCGCCCTCCCCTCTGCATCCCTGTCCTCTGTGGGAGCCAAGCCGGCCGGAGGAGGGCTGTGGCCGAGGCTCAGGTATCAGCCCTGTGCCACGTGCGCTCTGGAGCTCTGGGGCCTTTCGGCGTCGCCTTTGTCGTTGCCTTTTCGCTGACGGGGCGGATCTGTCCGGCTTTCAGAAAACAGCCATCAGCAGAGACTGAGCGGGGCTGCAGCCGAGGTCCCCCCCACCCCTCCCGCCTCTGCCCCCTCTCCTACCCCACCTCCCTGTGGTCCCACCGAAAATAAGCACGTACACAAATATTTAACGGGAAGGCAGAAATGAGTTTCTAAATATTCTGGGGGGATTTGCCGGGGCTGGTAATTCGTTTGGCGCTGGTAATTACATCTTACGTTTTTTTCCAGCTTTACTTAAAACTGTGTGCCGGGCGCGCCAGCATTTAATTACTGCTCTGCACCAGCCACAAGGTTATTTATTAAAGAGTTATTTTATCTTGATACAGTGGATCCTGCCCCTTCTCCCCTCCTTAATGTTGTGTTATTTTCCGCGAGTGAATGCGGATTGCGGGGCTGCTTCCCCCTGCGATTAGGCTGTCACTCTGCTGAATGCTGGTGCCGCCGGGCGCCGCGCCGCCCCATTATAGGGGGTTGTCAGCGCAAATAATTAGACTTAAAAGTTACAGCTGAAATATAATCCAGAAATGGCAGGGCCCTGTTTTGGAAATTGTCTGTAAAATGTCAGCACTGAGGATGCACGGGGAACGTACTAGACCAGCATTGTTGGAGCCCAGAATTAGACCCTAAGTGCCTCCCTCCCAGTTCCCAGCGCTCCTTCCTGCTGCGGCTTCTGTCAGGAGTCCAGGGTGGGTCCAAGCAGGAAAGGACGGACGAGGGCCTGCTGCTGCTGCAGGCCCCAGCCACTCCTGGGCGCAGGGACAAGGATGGCTGGCTGGACAGTCCAGGAACAGAGCCCCAGAAGCTGGTCTCTCTCCCCACCCCCACACACAGCGGACGTAGACACCGGTGCACACGCACATGACCTGCAGGGGAGATGTGGTCTGTGCCCCAGGAAGTCCTGCTTCGCTGGAGTCCAGTGACTGAACCCCACTGTCCTTGGGAGGGAGTGAAGGGCGGGGCGCCTGGGGGGCCTGGTCCTAGAGATACCCTTTGGGTCACCTGTGACCTCCCAGACTCTGAAGTGGGGGGGTTCTCCAGAGACACCCTCCATTTTCTTACAGCAAGGCTTTGGCCCCGACACTGACTCGTGAGATCTGCAGCTCGCCCACCCAGAGCACCCCGTCCTCCAGGGGCCTTTTGGGAGTAACGTCCAGCCAAGTTCAGGGATCTTTAGGTTCAAGTCCAAGGTTTCCAGGCCCAGGACACACTTCCCGACTGGGGTTCTTAATTCTGCCCCCGCGGGCACTCAGTCCCTGATTCTACCACTGCCAACCAGGGTCCGACTTGCAGCCATGAGGGCTCCTCGCCCCGCCCTGGGTCCCCTCCGAGCCTGCCTGCCTGCCAGCCAGGGCCCTTTGCTCCCACAGCCCGTTCCTGCACGCCTGTGCGTGTGTGACCGTCACTGGGTAGTAGCGCCTGGCGCATAGCCAGTGCTCAAGAGTGGTGTCCCTTTCGGGAGCCCCTTTCGACGCCCACGAGTGAGGAGCTGGGGCAGCCCTTGGCTCGGGCTACAGGAAAGACTTGGTCAGTTAAGGCTGCCCCCTCAGCCTTTCTTCCCAAGCCAGGGCTGCACTTGGCCCTCCCTTCAGGGCAGGCCTGGGCCTGACGTGCCAACAGACCTGCCCACCTGCGCCTCTCCTCCCATCACCCCATCACCGCCCCTGGGGCCAGGCCCACTGGGCTAGGCAACCTCTCTCTTTGTGCCCCCAAACCTCGCCCTCTTGCCATTTGGGTGTGGGGGTGCTGGCACTTTTCATCACAGACTCCCAGCACTGGGCGGGCACAGAACCCCAGCTCACACCAGCCTCCGCCAAACAAGGAACACTTGTCTCACAAAACTGAAAAATGTACAAGTGGGTTTGGCGCCGGGCAGGGTTGGGTGCCGGGCGGCAGCCGTCTGGCCAGACATCTGCCTGTCTGTCCTCTCAGGCAGGTTCAGGTGGTGCTTGCTGGCGGTGAGAGGTGGTCCCCAGCTGCTCCAGGCTCTCTGCACCCAACTTGGCTGACACCGAGCAGAGAAAGTTGCTCCTCTGGCAGTTTCTGCCAGCGGCTCCTGGCTGTGTCTTGTTACCCTGAGCTGAGTCACGTGGCCCACAGGTGGAGCTCCACAGGTGGAGCTCGGGGAGAGAGGTGGTTTCCTCTCAAGGAAGGCGGGGTGTGGCTGTAGGCAGAGGCAGCAACATGCAATGTCCGCCAGGAGGCGCCCCGGGGGCCTAGGCACACTGGGAAGCGGAGCCTGCCCAGGACGCTCAGGCTGCCAGGCTCTGGGGACTGCCTTTGGGTGTAGCTGGGAGGGCTCAACTGGAGGCAAGGTCTATGTAAAGCGGGGCTGAGCAGCTTAGACTTGACCGTAAGGCATTGGAGGCCCAGCCAGGGTTTTAAACAAGAGCCATGCAGTCAGATGAGCAGAAGACCAGTTAGCAGGCGCAGGGGCATGTAGGATGCAAGGCAGGAAGACTGGTGAAGAACCCGTTGCACTGCCCCGAGGAAGATAGTGGCGGTGTGAACCTTGGTGGGGCCAGTTAGGGTTTGGAGCAAAATGAGTAGGCTGGGAAGATTTTTAAGGCAGTGGCATTGACCGGGCCAGGTGACTTCCTGGATGCGTGGTTGATCTTAGCTGTGCCCCCTCTGCAGTGAGGTCAGAGGTTGGACCCAGAGAGCCTCTGTGGTTGCTTCCAGCTCTGGTTCCTGCCATGGGCTTGACAGGCAGCAGGGCCTGCTATTGACAGTGAGGTGTTCCGGCCGTGGGGCCTTTGCATGTTCAGGCTTCCCAGCGAGAGTCCTCAGTGACCGGTGCCCGTGTGGGACGTACCTGGCTTCCGCCCCACAGCAGCATGCCCCCTCTGCATGCCCAGCATGCCTGCCCATGGCCACAGGTGGCCTGCCCTCCCCCTCTCTGCATGTTCCCAGTGTCTGTGCCAAGCCTGCCACATCCAGCGTGCGTGTGGGGTGCTTACCGGCTGCACCTCTGGGCGGAGGGGGTCAGAATGGCTTCTGACCAGGGAAGCCCAAGGCCGGAGGCCATGGCCAGGCACAGCCAGCCTCTCCTGAGACCTTTGTTCATCGGCGCAGAGAGCTGTCTGCTCAGCGCCCTCATCCTGTTACTGCCATCGTCATGCCCATCCTGCCCGCGGAACACGTCCCCGGCCTGGCTCCGTCCTTCTCCTGCCCAGGAACAGGCCCCTCCCTCGGGTTCCCAGGCTGATCCGTGAGCAAGGCTGAGGCCCAGGCAGGTGGCCACACCACTCTGGAGCAGGAGGCAGTGGCTTTAGAGAGCGTGACCGGCTGCCCTGCCCCAGCCATGCTTGGAGCACCCTCTACCACAGGGTGCCTGAGTTTCTCTCCTTGGTGTCCTACTCGCCCTTAGGAGAGGGTCAGGGGCCGGCACTGACTGGAAGGTGACCTGGCCTGTGACCCTGACCAGGCCTGGACCTTGCGAAGGGCCCCTAGGTCATGCTGGGCAGGCAGGGCCACCCTGGGCTGACAGGTGGCAGCTTGGTTGCCAGATGTCTCTAGAGTAAGATGCTGCACCCACGCAGGTCCTGGTGGGGTCAGGACAGGGAGGGGCTGCTGGACAAGGGCCCCCCGGCCCATACACATTGGCCTGGCCCGTGAGTGCACCTCTCCCTCCTCCCACAGTGCGCCGGGTGGCTCCTCGCTTCTCCATCCCCCCCAGCAGCCAGGAGGTGATGCCAGGTGGCAGCGTGAACCTGACCTGCGTGGCCGTGGGCGCGCCCATGCCCTACGTGAAGTGGATGATGGGGGCCGAAGAGCTCACCAAGGAGGATGAGATGCCAGTGGGCCGCAACGTGCTAGAGCTCAGCAACGTCATCCGCTCCGCCAACTACACCTGCGTGGCCATCTCCTCGCTGGGCATGATCGAGGCCACGGCCCAGGTCACGGTGAAAGGTCAGTGCGTGGGGCCAGGGACCCTGGCTGCTGTGGGGCAGGCAGGGCTGGGGTCAGCCATCCCTCCTGGGTGCCTGCTCTGGGCCCCCTCACCCTTCGTGGTGAGGGAGGGGTCGGGGTGACTAGGAGCCTTGGTAAGAATCCCGTCAAGCCCGCCTCCGTCAGGTGGGCTCCCGCTCGTGGTGAGCCCACGTGTTAGGCTGGAGCTGTGCTGCTCCGTGGGATTCTTCTTGGGCAGCTCTGGGCGGACTCGCCCGCTGACCTTCTGGATAGCAGCAGAGCGCATTAGCCTTCGTGCCACCAGGGGAGAGAATCGTCGGCACTGAATCGTACACATTGAAGTTGTTGAATCGGAGAGTGTTTTGTTGTGTATGTCTTTGCCATAATTAAAAATAATGATTACACTAACAGCGAATACGAGGAAGAAAAAGAAACAGCAACAAAAACCCCTTCGCGCCACCAAGACTGGCTAAGCTTTCCTGAGCTCCTAAGTGGCAGGCACTGTGCACAGGTTCCTTCTAGTTTTAGCCCTGGTGGCATCGTGAGTGACACGAGGGGCTATAGACGACATGGGGAGCAGTTCGAATCCACAGAAGAAAAGGGGGCAGTTCTACTGGGTCCAAGAGGGCTGCTGTGAATTGGAATCTGCCTGATGGTGGTGAATTTGTTTGGGTTTTTTGTTTTTCTGGGGTGGTTGGGCTTTTGGGGGGATTTTTTTTGGGGGGGTTGCTGGGTTTGACATAACCCAGGGAAGGAGTTGTTCTTATGACCCTCGTTTTTACAAGTGAGGAAACTGGAGCACGGCAGTAAATGACAGAGCAGGGATTTGAACACTGAGTGATCTTGACTCCAGCTCGTCTCCTCCCCATTAGCACCGCCAGACCCCCTGGGGTTAGGGACCTCTCAGCGAGAAGGAGGTCATGCCTTAGCAGCCAAGAGAGGAAGTGGGTGCTGCCCTCCTGCTCGTTGCCAAGCCCAGAGCCCTGGGCGTAGGCATGAACGAGCTCTCTCCAGTTGCCCTCCCTCCGTGCCACCACCATTTCTGCGACGTGAGGGATGCTTTGAAAATGCGCTTGGGGGTCTGCCACCACCCCTCGTGGGTTCCCCACTGCCCATAGGGGGAGTGTGGTCAGCCTCTCCCTCAGGGTGCACACGGGCCACACTGATTCTGGCGCCAAGCACCAGCCCTCCCTGCACTCCCAGTTCTCAGCTTGTGAGCTACCCTGGAGACACAGACACACACACAGACACACACACACACACACACACACACACACACACACCAGGTTCTTCCTCAGTCTCAACACCTATCTCTGCCCTTGGATGCAGGTTTTATCAACCGTTTATGAATCGCTCTCGTCTTGGAGTGAAAGTCGCTGGAGAGCAGGGACAAGACTGTCTGCATAACTGTCTCCAGGCTCGGGCATGTCCCGTGACACCCAATGATTATTCATGCCCATTAGGTTAGCGCTGACTCATGACCACCCTAATGGGTTCAAAGTAGAACCATTCCGTGTGGTGTGGGTTTCATGGCTCTGACTTTCTGGAAGCAGATTGCCAGGTCTGACAGCGGAGGCATCCTGGGTAGAGATTCCCAGGCCCCCAGAGGGCATGTGATAATTCCTTGTTGAACGAATGATTGGCCAACTGTGGACCCAGGACTTCTCTACCATCCCTTCAAGCCAAACTACAGAGTCTGTTGGGCTAGGTAGAAATTGTTGAATGAGCGTATGTTACGTTGTGTGTATCTTCACCAAAAGAAAACAATCTCAAAAGCCAGGCCAGAAATAACTTCACATATTAAAAGCATCATACCACCTGTAACAGCTACCCAAAAGATAAGATACTAATGAGAGAAACAAAAGACTCAAAGAACACTAGCACTTTTGTACGGAAACCAAGAGACTTGCACAGTGGCAGAATGTCCTGTGCTCATGGATAGGGAGACTTAATAGAGTGAAGATGTCAAGATTACCTAAAATACTCTAAAAATGTAATGTCTTGGTACAATTCTTCAAAGGAAGGGGAAAAGTTACCAACTTCATATGAAAGGAAAGAAACCTAGGGTTAACAAAACGCTCTTTAAAAACAAAGTGGCAGGCCTTCCATCCTGGTTTCAAAGCCTGTTGTGGCCACATTCCCTGGAGATTTGCAGTGTAGACTCCCTGAAGGACAGCCCTGCTCTGCCCGTCGGGTCGCCGTGAGTCAGAGTCAAGTCCGGTGCCCACGTTTGGTGGGCTTCCCCCACACCCCCAGCCCCTCTTACGCGAACAGCAAGGGAGCAGAGGCGCGCTTCACTCTGCCACTTGCTCCTGCATGCCTTCCATCTGCAGGGGGCCCTGGTGCGTCACACCATGCCATTGTGCCTCAGTGAGTCCCTGCTTGCCTCACAGCCTGTGTGAGGACCCAGGGAGTCCCAGGCGTGGCGTAGGTGCGTCCTCGGTGGCCATGCTGCTTTAGCCAGCCTGCGAGCCCCACCCCCACTCAGGGCAAGGTTGCTTCTTGGGAACCTGACTCTGGGCAGCCCTGACCCGTCCCCTTTGCCCACAGCTCTGCCCAAGCCTCCAGCTGACCTTGTGGTGACAGAGACGACTGCCACCAGCGTCACCCTGACCTGGGACTCTGGGAACGCAGAGCCCGTGTCCTACTACGGCATCCAGTACCGGGCCTCGGGCACAGAGGGCCCCTTCCAGGAGGTGGACGGGGTGGCCACCACCCGCTACAGCATTGGGGGGCTCAGCCCTTTCTCGGAATACGCCTTCCGCGTGCTGGCGGTGAACAGTATCGGACGAGGACCCCCCAGTGAGGCGGTGCAGGCCCGCACTGGTGAGCAGGCGCCCTCCAGCCCGCCGCGGCGCGTGCAGGCGCGCATGCTCAGCGCCAGCACCATGCTGGTGCAGTGGGAGCCCCCTGAGGAACCCAACGGCCTGGTGCGGGGCTACCGTGTCTACTATACCCCGGACTCCCGCCGCCCCCTGAGCTCCTGGCACAAGCACAACACTGACGCGGGGCTCCTCACCACGGTGGGCAGCCTGCTGCCTGGCATCACCTACAGCCTGCGGGTGCTCGCCTTCACCGCTGTGGGTGACGGCCCTCCCAGCCCCACCATCCAAGTCAAGACCCAGCAGGGAGGTGAGTGTGGCCTCCACAGAGCCAGGACCCGAGTCCATGAGGATGGGGGTTCTGCGTCCCTGGGCCTGGGTCTGGGTGCCCTGGAGGGGGACTGGTGAGCCTGACGACGCCTGGCATGGGGGTGTTGCAGTGCCAGCGCAGCCCGCGGACTTCCAGGCCGAGGCGGAATCAGACACTAGGGTCCAGCTGTCATGGCTGCTGCCCCCCCAGGAGCGGATCATCAAGTATGAGCTGGTGTACTGGGCGGCCGAGGAGGAAGGCCAACAGGTGAGCCTCGAGACGGGCAGGGTGGAAGCAGGGGTCTGCAAGCTCCCTCGGGTGGTTTCTGAGGCTCGGGACCTGCTTCTCTGCGTGGCCCACGTAGCCTGTGGTAGTCCGGCGTTCTCGGCCAGCCTTGGGCCCGTGGTGGGTGCTGAGGCGTAGAATTCAGTCCGTGTTGGGCGATGGCCTCAGAGAGGTCAGTGCCTGCTCCCTGCCTTTCCAGCACAAAGTGACCTTCGACCCCACTTCCTCCTACACGCTGGAGGACCTGAAGCCCAACACCCTGTACCACTTCCAGCTGGCGGCCCGCTCCGACCTGGGCGTGGGCGTCTTCACCCCCACCATTGAGGCTCGCACAGCACAGTCCAGTGAGTGTCTCCTCAAGGCCGCTACCCTGACAGATGGGATGGGGACACACCCTTGCCCCCTCAGCCAGGTGGGTGGTCAGGTCTGCGGGACCCTAGACTGGGCTCTGGTCTAGGCTCTGGGTCTGGACCTCGAGAGAGGGACAGGTAAGTGCCCTCCATCCTGTCCAGGAGGCTGCTCCCTGCCCTCCGCTCAGGCCCCTCCCTCCCGCCCCAGCCCCTGCTCAGGTAAGTCTGTGTCTGTGCCTCCCTGCCCTTCCTCCCTCAGTCTCCCTGTGGCTGGGCTGGGCCTTCCTCAGTGATGGGACGGCATCTCTCGCTTGTCCCCACCAGCTGTGGCAGCTGTCCTCCCTCCTCATCACCCGTGCTCCCTCCCTCATGCCCCCACCGCGAGAAGCCCTCATCGTTGAGCCAGCACCACATGGGTCCAAAACTAAGCATGTGTACATGCCTGCCACAGGCTGGTGTGTGGCCAGAATGCGTGTGTGCGGTTGCCAGTGAGGCTGGCTGGGTGGCATCTAAGTGACATCGTGGTGTGCTCTGTGTCCTGGTGGCTTTGACTGGGTATGTGGCATTGCCTGTGTGGGCAGCACCGGGATATCAGGTAGCTGATGGCACGCGTGTGGTTGTGTGTGATGATTGGGACTGAGACGGCCACAGCAGGCAGTGTGCGTGACTCCAGGGCCGTGTGGCCGGGCCATGGCTGCACCAGCCCGCCTGTGCCTGTGCCTGCTCGCTCTGTCGGCCAGCCACGGCCACTCCCTGCAGGCACCCTCCAGTCAGTCCACTGGGTCAGGTGGACCCTGAACAGGAAGTACCCTGAGGGTGTGCATGCTCAGCTCCGGGCCGGGTGGTCACATAACGAAGCACTTCCTTGACTGCCAACCACAGGGTAGTGCTCTGAACCCCCAGAGCTGACTCCGGACGCTGGCCTGGGGTCATGGCCTGGAAAACCGCTGACAACTGCGGGTCGGTCAAGGAAGGCATCCTGGAGGAAGGGGCATGTCCACTGAAGCCTGCAGGGACAGGGAGTGTGGTGCCAGCCGAGTGAGCAGACAGGAGTCTGGAGTGCAGGGGCATCGGGCAGGGCCCTGGAGCCACAAAGGGCTGTCACAGGCAAGGAGCGAGGAGCAGGCCAGTGTGGCTGGCGCAGCCAGGATCTCCAGGGCAGGGGCCAAGCAGGAAGGGTTTCTCCATCTGCTCTGTAGAGAGGAGGCAGGGCAGCCTGGGAGGAGGCTTCCCAACTCTTCACAGATGATGGAGTAGGTGGGTGGGCTTGCTGGGAGGGGTGTGAGAGCCGCGGGAGACACCCCCTGGGTGGGCTTGGCTGTGGGAGGCTGTTGGGTCCCAGGGCCTGGGCTGAGGAGGAAGACTGGAGAGGGGAGCGTCTTGGGGGTTGCGAGAGGAGAAGACTCAGCAAGCAGAGTTCAGGGGCTGCTGGGTGGCCTGGGGCAGTGGGCGGGAGGTACCCTGGACATGTATTGTGGTGACAGGATGGGGTTGAAGCCCAACTCCCTGTGGCGTTTGGGAGGTAAGGAAATAGAGACGGAAAGGTCAGACATTTTCAGCCTTCACTCGGCTGTGGGTCGGAGGGAAGAGTTTTTCTTTTAAGACGGGAAAGCCTTGAGCGTATTTAGGTGCTGTTGGGAAAGGCTGTAGAGAGTTTGGAAAGCTAGCTGCTGGAGCCTCAGCATCGAGGGTGTGGGTTGAGCGCGACCTTGGGCAGGAGGGGCTGTCTCTCCGTTCTCGGGAGGGAAGGAGAGCGAGTGGTGCAAACACTCGCAGGGAGGCTTGGTAGCAGCACGTGGAGGCGTTGCTCTTGGAAGACTTCAAGGTTTCGCTCTTAGTGGGAAGCGTCCAAACTTGGAAGTGTGGAGAGCAGGGGTCTCCAATGCCCCTTCCAGGGAGGGAGGAGGGAGCCGGGCAGGGCACCCGCGGCCATGGAGGGCCCTCATGTGGCTCTTGGCCATGGGTTTGTAGGGCACCAGCCTGCGACTGGCTTCTAGCACAGTGGCTCCCTTGGAGCGGGCAGAGGCTTGGATCCATTCAGGGCTTGAGCCATGCCACGTAGGGGCGTGAGGAGCCGGCGTTGTGCGGAGATGTGGGTGCTGGTACAACAGTGGTGACACGCGGGACCTCGGGTTCTCAGCTGAATGTTGAGGGTGGTGACCAGGCACCAGTGCTCATGGGAGCAGCAGTCAGATCAAAGGACACACACATTGCACGGGGTAAGTCTGCTGCACAAGACCCCTGTAAAGTGTTGAAAAGCAGGGATGGTGGTAACTGGGGGACTGAGGTGCACCCGGCCCAAGCCACGGGATTCTCAGTGGCCTCGCATGCACGTGCAAGTTGGACGTTGAATGAGGAAGACTGAAGAAGTGGGCGGGGCCTTTGAGTTAGGGTGTTTGCAGACTCGAAAGTACCAGGGACTGTCTCCGAGAAAGTGCAGCAGAATGTCCCCAAGAAGCAAGGATGGTGAGACTTGGTCGCACCTACTCTGGACATGTTAGATCTATGGGGAGAGACCGGTCCCTGGAGAAGGACATCTTGCTTGGTCAAGCAGCAGGGTAGCAAAAGAGGAAGGCCCTAGAAAGACGGATTAGCACAGTGGCTGCCACCGGGGGCTGGATTGTGAGGCTGGCACGGGATGGCAGTGTTTGGTTGTCCATCGAGAGGGTCACCATGAGTCAAGGGCTCGTAACGAGAACAGTGGGGCCAGGGGGCGGAGATTCTGATGGGGTGAGGGTGCAGCACCCTTGAGGGGCTGAGCTGCGGCCAGAGAGGAAGGTGTGTCCCAGGACAAGGCCATTCCCAACAGTGGCCCGTGTGGGCCGTGATCGTGCGAGGCAGAGGCTGAGGAAGCTGAGCGGGGTGAGGGGCTGGGCCCAGGGAGTCACAGGGGCTGCCCAAGTCTCCCAGACAGGGCAGTGGCCGGACTTGGTCCAAAGAGGAAGCCCATGCCAGCAGCAGGGTGCCCAGCGGGGACAGGGGCTGCTCCTGCCGAGAGGGGATGGAGAGAACTGGCCTAGTCTTGTCTCTGCCTGGCAGCTTGGTGGGTTTGACGGCAATTCAAATGCCTCGCTGAGCCTCCAGAGCCATCGACCACCTTCAGGTCCAGCCCACTGCGGTCTCTGGGGTGACCTGCGGGTTAGGCACAGACCCTCCCGTCCAGGCACGCACAGGCCAGAGCAGCCTCACACGGAGGAGCTTCGGGGACCACGTGGCCTCAGGCAGGTGCAGCTGTGAGCAGAAGGCTGCTGTCTGTGTAGCCGTCAGGGCTGAACAGGATGGCCACGTGTCCGTGCGTCTGCAGTGCTGTCTGCTTGTGAGGCAGCACACTTGCGGGAGAGAGGTGGCATGAGTGTGTGTGTGTGTGTGTGTGTGTGTGTGAGACGCGCCGTGTTCCAGCACCATACATGTGAGAGACGCCATCTGCATGAGTGGGAGACCCCATGCGGGGCTGTGCCAGAGAGGGAGAGATCGGGTGTGTATGCGTGTGAGCGCATGTGTGAAGAGCCCGAGTGGCAGGGGGAGCCGGGCTGTCGGTCTGTCTGCGTGGAGGCAGCCTGCCCCCCCGGGGCCCCCTGGAGCTGTTGTAACACTTGGGGAGTAGCTTGCCCGGCTGAGCGTCCAGCCCCCTGTGCCTGTGACCCCCACCCTCCATCTGCCTGCTTCCCCTCATTTGTCTTCCCCAGCCCCCTCCGCCCCTCCCCAGAAGGTGGCCTGTGTGAGCACGAGCTCCACCACGGTCCGGGTAAGTTGGGTCCCGCCGCCAGCCGACAGCCGCAACGGCCTGATCACCCAGTACTCCGTGGCCTACGAGGCGGTGGACGGCGAGGACCGCCGGCGGCATGTGGTGGACGGCGTCGGCCGCGAGCACTCCAGCTGGGAGCTGGTGGGCCTGGAGAAGTGGACGGAGTACCGGGTGTGGGTGCGGGCGCACACAGACGTGGGCCCCGGCCCCGAGAGCAGCCCGGTGCTGGTGCGCACTGACGAGGACGGTAGGCGGCAGCGGGGCAGGCGGGCAAGGGAGGGCACCCCGACCACCACCCCTCTCCTCACCTCACCACCCAGGGTGCAGGCTCAACTGGCCAACGGAGCCGGGGCTTCTGGGACAGCCGTGTGTAAATCTCATCTCCGAGGCTGTCTCCAGTGGAGCTGGACATTCAAAGGCTGTGGGCAAGAAGCGCCCAGCTAAGATCGGAGTAGTGGGGACTGGATGGGGGTGTCGGAGACAGCAGAATAGCACTGTGCTTGGGTGCTGGCATGAGTAGGGAGAGGACAGGTTGCGTGGCCTCTGGTGGTCAGAAGCCTGCGGTTGCATCTCCACCTGTCTTCCAACCAGGGAGTTGCGGG